CGTGTGCCTTGGCAGTCTCTCTCTGTCTCAGGATGAAATGGACGAGCTGCGGGCGGAGATGGAGGAGGTGCGGGACAGCTACCTGGAGGAGGAGGTGTACCAGCTGCAGGAGCTGCGCCGGGACCTGGACCGCTCCAACAAGAACTGCCGCATCCTGCAGTACCGGCTGAGGAAGGCGGAGCAGAAGAGCCTGCGGGTCGCTCAGACCGGACACGTGGACGGAGAGCTGCTGCGGAGCCTGGAGCAAGACCTGAAGGTGTGTGTGTGTGTGTGTGTGTGTGTGTGTGTGTGTGTGTGTGTGTGTGTGTGTGTGTGTGTGTGTGTGTGCGTGTTTGTGTGTATCTGTAATATGATAAATGTTGCCCTCATAAATATTTGTCTTTGTCGATGTTACAAATGGAGCTGCTGTGAAACAAGAACAACTTTAGTCTTAATTGGACAATAAAGGATTAACATAACACAAAACAGCACCTTAAAGACATTAAAGCTCTCCACTGACCCAGAATAATTAAATGTATCTTCTTAGAGTAATGACTCAAAGTAGCTTCTCAGTGTGGGGAAAACATTTGGCTCCAAGTGAATCGTTTATGTGCAATAAATCCAAGTGGAAAATGTAATTGTTAATAGGAATGTGGTCATGCTTTTTCATTACAAATGTTTCAGTTCTGCAAATAATGATAGATTTTCTTATGGAGAATAATATTTATCTTTAAATCTTTAATATGTCATTAAAAGTCCCAAGCAGACGTCTCCAAATTGCTTGTGTTGCCTCAAAAGTAGATTCGTTTTTGACTAATCTTTTAACACTATACTGGTTTAGTACAGTAGTCAGTCAGCTGAATACTTTTGGATGTTTTATTAAGTGATATCTGCTTGATATATAAATACATGCAACAAATAGTATATTGTGTGTGTTAAAGGCACATATCATAAAACATGTATATATCCATTCTGTTCTGTGTCTTTGCACTGCCTGTGTTTATCCTTCAGCATTTTGTCCCTGTGATCTCAGGTGGCCAAAGATGTGTCGGTGCGTTTGCACAACGAGCTGGAGAGCGTGGAGGACAAACGCAGCCGAGCCGAGGATGAGAACGAGCTGCTCCGGCAGAAAATCATCGAGGTGGAGATCGCTAAACAGGCTCTGCAAAACGAGTTCGAGAGGACCAAAGAGGTGAGAGGATGAACATGGACATGCTTTTTGATGCTAGGCTGTGAAAGGTCATGGGAGGAACGTTTGCTCACATGCACATACATTAAGGCTGGGTTTTATCTGTACAGATGCTAGTTGTCTTGTACAGTTGCAATGCAGAAATCTAAAGAATTGTGAGATACACAAACAAGTAATCATATTGAGAATATATTTTTGTACAAGTTGTGAATGAAGGGTGTTTCTGTTGAAGAGCTTTGACAGTGAGTTGTGGTTTAATCAGGAAAGCAGTGATTATGACCACTGTGGTGGATGTGATTATTTCATGTTGTTGACTATGCTGTTTGCACAGGATGAAAATCTCCAGTCTACCGTGACAGGCTGTTGTTGTTGTTGTTGTTGTTGTTGCCTCTTAACTACCTGCACATAAACGAGGAGATTATTAGTGGTGATCTCCGGCCTGATCAGCAGGGCCGCTGCTGTGAAATAATTTCATCAATCACTTAAAGGCTCCTCGACAGACCGCTCAAAACAACTGCTCTTTTCAATGGTGCCAGATAACAATGTGAACATATCCTTATGTCATTCTGGTAGAAGAGTTCCACTATAAAAGTGTGCGTTAGATGCTTCCGGACTTTGATTAATACTCAGTTTGAGCTGCAGTACTACTTCATGAAACCTTCCTACCCCTTTACAGCTTTTTATAAGAAAATGAAATGTAGTTTAACATTGTCTAGACTGTAAGTCAAAAGGTTTTCACCACACAACTTATTACTTTAATGGATATATCAGAATATCAAAAAACATTTTTAGCCTTAGTTACATAATACGTTCTGATAATTGAATTTTAAAAAGAGTACATTTTCTTGTTTTTGGGTCACTTTTATAATTTTCCTATTTTATTTCCAATTTGATGAATATGTTGGGAGTTGTGGAACTACAGCCCCCATTCTTCTTGGGTTGATGTTATCAGAATGGAAGTGAATGTTAACATTGAGTCAGAAAGATTTTAAGCCTTGTTTATTTAACGGTTTACATTTTCGTGAATCTTCTGCATTTTTATCTGTATTTTTGTCACTTTTTATCTTTTTTTAGCATATTGTTCATTATATTAAAACTTAGTACTTTTTTAACGCATGTAAGATATGCAACACTAAGCTCTCTGTGGCTCTTTCCTGCTGTAACGCTGCAAATGTCCCCTCTGTGGGACTAATAAAGGTATTCTGATTCTGCTCTGGGTACACAGACACACTTCACGTTGTGTCTAAGGCTAAACAGGTTATTAAATAGCTGTATTTTGAGCTACTAATGTTATTTTTCACACCTTTTTACAGTGTAGCTGCAGAATTCAGACTTCTGTCTATGAGCTTTTGCATCACAGTGACCCTGATGTCGCTCAGTGGAGAGTGTATTGAAGTTAGGTCTGGTTGCAGGTAATAAGATGAGCAGAGGCTATTCTCAGGGCTGCCAGCGTTTAGCTGCTTACACTAAATTGATTTTGACATCAGCAGGTAACATACCGCCGTCTGCCTGCCGAGGGAAAGTAGGCTAATACCGCCCCAGTCAGTATGGAGCCGAGGCTTTTCCTTTCTTTAGGCAACAACAGGGACACTGTCTCTTTTTCTCCCGTCGTCACACATGCTGCCTGTTTGATTCCCAGCCTGTGCAACAGTGACACCATATGTGCTCTGTTACATGCCTCTCTAAATAGCTCTTTCTCTGGTTTACAATCTATATTCTGAAGCAGCTCGTGACCTTAACTGTCTGTGTTTGCAACATTGTTTTCAAAGGCAACTCATCATCCCCTGACTGAGCTGCATATGCTCTAACGAAGACAGAAAAATCCATGTGTAGTCCGGACGAGCTAATGCAGCAAATGCAAGCTCCAGTTTTTGTTGTCGTCACTTGACACCGGTGACCTTTCAGAAGAAAACGATGAATGCACACTAAGGTGGAGGTGAGAGGATGCTTCACATGAGCAGGTTTTTAATGTGTGTTGCAGTATTGGTGGTGGATCCAGACCCTTACTTCTGAGATACAAAGAATCTCAGGATGACACAGACTCTCTACACGGAGAAACAGGCAAGGGTGTGAAAAGGAGAGGCTGTGAGAGCGGCTGCTCCGAATGTTTGCAGGTTTTGTGTTCCCCCGAGGTTTGTCCTAGAAAAACACAAGCCGCCTCTGAATCTGCATTTTGATTCCAAATCTCTTCCTCCCTTTCTTACGTACCAGAGGCATGCATTTAAATTGCAGCACCCCAATATCTTCGTATTGTTACACGGAAATCCAGTTCATTTGTCTGTAGTTTTCCTCGTAGCTAAATCACTATGTAGTAAAAGTCTTTAAATCCTGTAAAATATGTAATTCACAGGACGATAAGAGTATTTACAGTAATTTGAGGAGGGATGCATTTCAATGAATGAATGTTAAAATCTGCCCCGTGCCCTTGGAGTGTCTCAGTCACGGAGATAAACCACAAAGGATAAGGAAGGAGCGTGATTAATGATAAGAATGTGGATCGATTGGACTAAAAGGCTGTTCGTTTCCTCTTCTGCTTCAAATAGACTTTGTAAATTGTGACCCAGGTGTAATGTGATGCAGCAAACGGCATCACTCACTCCTTTGGGATTCCTACTAGTTTTTAGAAATCAACCAGAGGCCTCTGTGTCTTCTTCTTAGATAGATAGATAGATAGATAGATAGATAGATAGATAGATAGATGGATTAATAGATATAGATGGATAGATGGATAGATAGATAGATGGGTAGATAGATAGATAGATAGATAGATAGATAGATAGATAGATAGATGGATGGATGGATGGATGGATGGATGGATAGATAGATAGATGGGTAGATAGATAGATAGATGGGTATATAGATAGATGGGTAGATAGATAGATAGATGGGTAGATAGATGGGTAGATAGATAGATGGGTAGATAGATAGATAGATGGGTATATAGATAGATAGATGGGTAGATAGATAGATGGGTAGATAGATAGATAGATGGGTAGATAGATAGATAGATAGATAGATAGATAGATAGATAGATAGATAGATAGATAGATAGATAGATGGGTAGATAGATAGATAGATAGATATATGGGTAGATAGATAGATAGATGGGTAGATAGATAGATAGATAGATAGATGGGTAGATAGATAGATAGATAGATAGATAGATGGGTATATAGATAGATAGATATATAGATAGATAGATAGATAGATAGATGGATGGATGGATGGATGGATAGATAGATAGATGGGTAGATAGATAGATAGATGGGTATATAGATAGATAGATAGATGGGTAGATAGATAGATAGATAGATAGATAGATAGATGGGTAGATAGATAGATAGATAGATAGATAGATGGGTAGATAGATAGATAGATAGATAGATGGGTATATAGATAGATAGATAGATAGATAGATAGATAGATAGATGGGTAGATAGATGGGTAGATAGATAGATATATGGGTAGATAGATAGATGGGTAGATAGATAGATAGATGGGTAGATAGATAGATAGATAGATAGATAGATAGATATATGGGTAGATAGATAGATAGATAGATAGATAGATGGGTAGATAGATGGGTAGATAGATAGATAGATGGGTAGATAGATAGTTTGAGGAACACAAAGCTTTACCCTGTAGAAGACTTTCACCACAGTGTTAAAATGGACCCCAGATAGTTTAGATGTCTCTGAGCATTAAAGCTCGTCTCCTGACTGTCCCTCGGCCCGTCCTCGGCTATCAGAGGCTGCACAGCAGGACTCTGGCTCAGAGATTGGCACCCCTGCATGGATTAATCCGAAGAGAAGGCCTGTTACAAAACAGCCTGGCGTGTGTCGGTACTCTCTGATGGGAAGGGAGGGCTGGAGAGAAAAAGACAAAGAGGCAGAGAATGGTTTGAATCAGATGCGAGCGATACAGATCCACAGTTTCAGATATATGTTAAACGGGCCTGGTTGACAGGACCCTCTGTTGAAACACTGTAGACTCATAGAGCAAATAGCTGCTTCGGTGTGGTTAGTATGAAGGCGAACAGTGATTGGTCTAGACCTTTTCATTCCTTTGACATTAGAGGAAAGGACCTCTGATATGTGTAACGTGATGGAACTAATGAAATGTCAACAGGAGCGGCAGGTGATTTATTAGGTGCCCTCTGTTCCCGATGAGTTCATCTTTCATTACTGCAAAATGATAATGCTTTGTGCCGTGCTTGTTGACAAACTGAAATGAGATATCATGAACTCATCAAACAATGAACAGCCCAAATGGTTTTCTTAATATTTTCTAACATATTTTAAAGGTGTAGGGTTACTCTGTGAAGTTCCCTTACTTTACTGATAGGCAGTAATTCTCTTTAAAGGGACTTGTTACCCAAATTACAAAACATATCTAGCGGTATCTTGACATGCAGACAGTTTGGACAGGGACTACTTCTTCAGTGAAAAAAGAAAAAGGTCCACTGATACCTCATTCACACCAACGGTGTTTCAGGGCCGGTTCGGAGCTGGAGCTTGAAAAGCACCGGGTTTTCCTGTTCACACCGCAGCGGAGCAGCCTCTTAGCTCCGGAATCTGGTTCGTTTCAAGCACCGAAAAATTGTCCGGCCAGAACAAAAGCACCGCATAAATCACGCTTACGTCGAGGCGGGGGCAGGGGCGCGATCACAA